TTGATGATGAAGATGACCTCTGTGACCCACTACGGTACACTGAGTGTTCATTTTGATACCCACTGAGTTTCTTACATCAGGTTGGTCAGCGGATAGAGCTCTAACGAAAAGGGTCTCCTGACCATCTAGGTTGGAGACTGTGATCTCTTCCTTAAAAACCTGTAGTGCTTAGTAGCACATCAGCACCTGCAAGCTGCCTTGTGGCCAGTCTTTTGAGCAAATTGCTTTTGTCGAGGCCCCCCTAATTGTCCTTCTTTCTAGAGGCTGACACACTGACGCATCCTAGCCCACGTAAAACCATAAACACAATAACTGAAACTATTATCATGTGATTGTATGGTGGTGAAGTATCGCTGTCGTGACTGATGTTGCTGTCTGAGGCTGGTGGTAATGATTTTAGTGAATTATTTGAGGTTCACCAGAGAGGTCGGTTGAAATCTACTTTATCCCGAGTTGAGTCCTTTTGGGATAGTATAGTGGTCAGGACACCGTTGTGCTTCATAGAATAGCATCGAGTCTGCTGAGCAACATGAGGAGTTCTATGAAACAAGTTATTCTCCCCCCTACAAGTGACTTACTAACTGAATGAACGACTGATTGATTAACTGACTGAATGGCTCACTAACTAAATGCTTGATTGATTGACTAAATGACTAACCGACTAGATGACTGCCTGCCTGACTGAATGACTGAGTAATTTTTGGTTGATTGAGACATAAGTCGTTGGAACTTTTTGGTTGCATACATGGTGTTAGTTTCGTCTACCTTTGGCAATTTCCATAACCCACTAATTCGATATATGTACGGTTAGATTTCAAAATGTCGTTCACGGGCATAACCCGAAACATCCTGAATTTATACCAACATGACTGCATGGTTCGTATATTTTTTGTTCAACTCTAAGGGGAGTTCGCTTTTTCACTCTCATCTGCCTCTGACAGGCAAGCAGTTTATACGTGTAGAGACAGTACAACTATCCTAGACTTATCGATTTTCCGGGTGAAGTTTAAACTGTTCACTCGTTATTGGCGGTCAGCTGTCATCCACGTGGGACAAAGTAGGTTGGGTGCAAATGTAGCGTTTTATGCGCTAGATTTTGTTCTGTCTAACTAATTATCCGAGTATATTTTCTTGTAATTATGATGTAGGGATTAGTATGCTTAATTAGAGGGCCTTGAACTGGAATAAATGTTCCATTAGAAGTCCATTTCGGCAGGTTGTTGTTCCGAATATCCAGTGGAAGAAATATTCGTTCCCTAGCTGGAAGCGTCAGCTGTAACCAACATGCATGACCAATGGATTCACCAGCGAAGAACCAAATGTGGCAACTCATTTGCACAAGGTTTTGCTCTTTAACTTACATGAATGCGTTGTATCAAGAACCTCACGAAAACAAGCATTCATTAGCATTTCTTAACATCTTTGACAGGTGAAGTCATAAAGAAAGGCTGAAAGTGAAAGTGACTTTCCTTTTTCTGTTGTTGCTAGATATTTCGAATTCACCCAAACTCATACGTTAAAAAGCAGTTCTTAATTTCGCAACATGCATTGATTATTACTGCCTAGCTCAGTGAGGTCACGGTGTGTGGTTTGATATGGACTTTCTAGAAACAACTGCTCATCGTTTGATTGCAAGCTTGTACAAATTTGCTGATGAAATATTTCGGTTTAGGAGGGCTATACTAGGATGCATTTGCTAAGGGAGGTAGACCAAAGCTACTTTGATTTCTTGGCTCGATCGTACTGGGTAGTGAGGCTAAATTCAGTTTGTGTGCACAATGCTATTTGCTCTGCAATAACACGGCGGGAGTTTTCGTCCTACTGAAATAAGAACTGATGCAATTCTTCGTCCAGCTGTAGCACCCTTTTGGTGGCCAGCTGCCATGCCTCCCGAAGGAATCACGAGGGCTGGGCTACTGTCAGATTACCCAAGCCTAGACAGGGGAAGTCGAGAGGCAGAGGTCGGTTTCGGACCACGAACCTTCCGGTCAGTGAATTCGCCCTCTAACCACTTGGGCCATCTCGCCCCAGATGTAATTCATACGCACACCAGTTTGGTTCTAACAGAGGACCCAGCTAAATTCAGCTAAATCTGTCATTCATGACGGAAACTCGTGGATGGTGCCTATTTGGTATGCCTTAATAGGAGCAAAATCGGTCTAGCTGTGTCGAGGATCAGCATGTTTTCCCTTCTTTTAGACATTTCGAAACGGGCATTTGATGTATACCAGTGGACCGACGGTTGAGGCCGTTTGGGATCGGTGTTAGCGAAAAAAACGAAGTCCCGAAAACACATAGGTAATGAGCATAGGCGCGGCTGGACTACGAAATTGTGTTAGTTTCCATTGACAAGCAGATACTTCTTGCTGTGATCGCCTACAAACACTGTTTCACCAAGTGATAACGAATTCGTAATTTGTGAGTTTCTCAGTGCAGTGTTCGTGCAACAAGTGAGGCTAATCCATGCCGAAAATCCTAGAATTGCTATGTAGCTGTTTGATCTCTGTTGAAAATCATCAGTAGTGCACATCTCTCGCAACGCCAGAGAACTCCGAACCCGCGGCCTACCGTCCGTCATTTTGTATACCTAAACCACTTGGTCATGAGAGACCGATCAGCAGTTTGGTTACTCCGCAACTAAACAGGAAATAGAGCCTCACAAATTTCACATACGGGTTTCACATGATGTAGTCGCACGTTTCGGAAGTTTTGCTCATTGGGTGAAGGGGATTCCTGACTTCCTGCAGCGGTAATGAGTGTTCGTGTTTTGTCTGGTTACATACATCCCGTCCTAACAAGGTCTGGCTCATTGCCCAGTGTTCTGACAGGTTAACGCTTGGATGACGGGGGAACAACGGCAGCCAACCTGCCGTCAGGAATACCACTGTTTCACAAAAGCAGTTACTACAGTAGCACCATCATGGGCAGCAGTGCATGAGTGATGGAAATTGATGGTTTCCTTCCATACAATGACAGGCAAGATCAGGGAAAGAAGAAGAAGAACTGAAGAAGTCCCACATCCCTCCTGAGGACTACAGAAAAATAAACACATGTGAGAAACTTGCTGGAGCAAGGTGCCATCTGAATTGCTCAAGCCATGCACACACTGACAGACAAGTTTTAGCTGCAAGTTCGCCGTGGGATCCAATTCCGTAGCACGCTTTGTATTCCTGTAAAGAGATAGCGTAAAACTACCACAGCGTTCACGTTGACGGCAGTTACCTTCCTTTTAATTTAGGGCTTACAAGATTTGAACCTGAAGCGCAGTTGTCTTTTTTTCTAGCTGGATGTTCGGAGAAAACGTAATAGTGCTCATCCGGCAAATTTTACTCGCCGCACTTAGTTTTTGAATGTTGCTCCGTCTACTTTCAATTGCTAGTAGTTTGTTATAAAAATCTACTTTTCGTCTCGGTTTGTCGTCGTGGCTTGACGCAAAGCTGTGATCTAGTGTCCTTTTGGCTGTACCGAAAAAAAAACGTTAAAGGTCGTTGAAGATCCCAAATCTGAATATCTCTTCGGTTAAACCAGTATTTAAAGGTTCGCTTACGTTATATCTGATGTGACCGTGTTCTATAATCTCTCTAATCTAATCTCTAATCTAATCCTTTCACAAATGCACACCTTTTCCAATGACTGCATACTTGCTGGCACCAGAGACCTTGCATTTCCTTACGTTGCTTTTTCATCCAACAGATACTCGACATACTGATGCACCGTGGAGTTTAATACAGAATACCTTGATAATGGGAGTAAGCTGTAAAAACCCTTCTGTATGGTTTTCATTGCATTTCGAGGAAATCACCTTTCTGTAATATTGTCGCGTGACAAATGCTTCATTATTTAGTGTGACGAAGCTAATCGTTATGTTTTGTGTTTGATAGGTTTTCTTCACTTTAGCATCTAGCATGTTAGGGTGATTGTGTAGAAGCGTTTCACTTACCTCGATATCATTTATCGTGTCATCTTTCACCGTAGCCCATTAAGTATTTGGGTAAGAGGTGGGCACTGGATACGGATAAAGAGTACACACGTTCGCGTTCACATAATACCTTTGAAAATTCCGCCTCTTCTCCTGGCGCAATCATTCTGACGAGGCGCTGAACTTGGGTCTCGCCATTATTAAAGCTGACGTTTGCATTTTGAGCATCTTATGCGTGGTGTGAACACAAATTCTAGAAATCCCACAACCACATACAAGCAATCCAAACTTGTGCAGTAGGTTTCAAGCGTCCGTGGCTCAACCTAACTGGGAAGTCTTGACGGTCAGGTCAGCTAATTGACACAACCAGGACAGAGACCGCGCAAACTAGTCTAGCGAGTGCATGTCAAAAAATTTGACACTGAATGATTTGTTGATGTTAGCACATTGAAATATGTACCCCAAATCAGAGGCCTTCTCTACATCACCTTCTAACATCTAATAGTTTTAGGCACAAACCAGTGCTCACCTAGTGATTTCGAACTTTGATGAAACATCCAGCTCCTAGATCCTCTTGTTCAAAGCATGTTGTCGCTTGATTTCCTCTGTAACTTTCCTCCGCACATTTACCAAGGGCGAGCTTGTGCAGTTCTTCATCGGCCAGTATGGACTTCAAGTGGGAAATGCGGTGTGGGAATTGGCTTGCGCTGAAAACGGTCTAGATTGTTCCGGTTCTCCACAGGACAAATCTTTTCACTTGGACGACCATGGTGTGCAAACATTGTTTACTCAAACACCGTCCGGAAAATTTGTTCCACGATGTGCGCTAATCGACACGGAACCAACGGTGATTGGTAAGTTTCATTGAGCTGTCCTTTGAGTTGGGGATGTTGCCTTGTTTTCGTAGAATTTTGCTTGAATTCTTGTTGATTGAAAATGAATCAGAATGGGGGTAGACCGTTTCTTGCTCATCCATGAGGTATATGACAAGCAAGTCAAGACGCTTCGTAGTTGTTTGTATGATGAGGAGTTTGGGAAGTTTTCAGTTACTAGTTCGTCTAGAAAGCACGAGCAGATCCCAGTGGTGATCAGCCGATCCTGCGTGAACGGTGAACTAATCAGACCACCAACTGGGGGCTCGCACTTCTGAAACTTCCTACTGCGGTTTTGTGAGATGCGTGTGTCAAAAGAAAGATGAAACAGTTCTACAGGACAAAATCCCTTTTTTGAAAGCCCTTCCTCGTTTTCTCTTAGTTCTCTCGGCAGGTCTTCATCGTGCCAACCGTTTTTCTGACGGAAATCGACTACTGACTAAAGTCCCAGCGGAAAAATTTTCTTTGGTCAAGTGCCAGCTTCTCACTTCAACTTGTCTGCTTGTTTGTTCTTTTCAAATATGAACACCTAGGTTCTCGTTCAACCGAATGCTAATCACCATAACAAGCCAAAAGAAGACGACTGGAAATGCCTAACTAACTAACTCGCCGTAGAATATGGCTGCATTTCCAGTTGAAGTCTGGGAGTCGCGTCAAGTGATTTACCTGTGTTTCGTGGTTTGTGCGCTACCGATATACAGATACGGAGTCGCCCTTTTGGAAACTGTCACATAGTATTGATTCCTTAGCCACAACTGACTCGACCTATGTTTCTTTACGTTCGTTTCATTCTGAAGAAGGGTTCGCAAAGTTCGTAGCACGAAGTGCTTGTTTTAATGGTGAGCGGTCAGTAAAAAGGTCCAAATACAGCGTCCTCCAGGTCGTGCTTTACTGACGGGCGGTCTAGACCACATGGAAGCTCAGCACTTCATCGTCGACCATGACTGCAAAGAGCCAGATTTCTATTTGTCCTCTGTTGCAGCAGTACCATTCCCGACCATCTACTGTCAACGTAGATAGCCTGAACATATCCTAGCGGTGGATGTGTCCGAAAGAATGTATTTGGCGCAGCTGGATAAATTTGGAAGGGCTACAGAAACTTAGGATCAATCAGCGGCCTATTTGGCTTACCTCTCTAGGGCAGCCTATCTACCGACAGTGCTATCCAACGGACCCATTGAGGTTCCCCTTAGATCATGGAGAGAATGTCTGACTCATCTGCAAGACAATCTGGTTTTGACAGGAACTCAATAAACTTTCTCGTCTTCCGAACATCTCCTTTTGGACATTTTTGACAACAATTACGAAATACAATCACCAGTAAGACAGAGTTTCCTGCTTTTTAGACTTGATGTGTCCGCAATATGATAAAAGGCTTTTGAGTCTTGTAACTGGCCTAAAACGGGTCAGCCATTCAACAGGTTACAGATAGCAACCAGGATAGTTGTTCTTTCGCTATCCGGAGAAGCTATTTTGCTTTGCAAGATATGACTTTCAAAGCATTTGTGTGTTTTGTAGAGAAGAGTTCTTGTGGTCAGCCATACTAGAGAAGGACTACCCAGAGTGGTTTTCCGCAAAAACGACCGACGCGAAAAATCCAAGTGGACCGGGATTTCATTGCCAAAAAATAGAGTCTCCTAGAATTTTCATCTGAAAAGTGCATATTTTAAATTTTTATCACAACTTAACGGTCGTTCTTGGTGGCAGCTGAGCTACAAGTAGCCGAATTTCCAGGTTTCTCATTAGCCTGTTCGAGATACCGATATTTCCGCTTCAGAAGTTAGGCATCCATTCTCTTGCGGTTCTGGTGGTAGGTACATCGACAAGATAGTGAAATGTTTGACAATAACCACTAGTTCATAATCTGGACGGACAATCCTAGATTTCAGGACGTCTACCGGCCACAGACCATTCAGTCAACTACACAGACACTCCACGTCATTCTCCCTCATCACTCAATATGCGTGGTTGTGGTACTAAAAACGTGCTTCTCAGGGGACTCGAAGATTCCTCACTGACCACGACTTATGCATCTATTTACAGATTTTCTGCGTCCTAAATATCCCGAGGCAGTTCGTCTTTGTACAGACTCTACGACACAAAGACACATAAAAGTTACTGAGGCCTGTCAACTGTCACCTTACAAGCCAACTGCAACTGACACCATTGATGATCTAACAAAGACCAACTATTCCCCACTTTTGCTGTTGCTTTTTCTGACATACGGGCCACAAAATGAGGGTTAGCTTCGGAAAAAAACTTTGACGCCAATTCTTCAGCGACCATCATGATGATTGAAATTCACGATGCAATTCATGAAATTCTGCCCGGTTGAGGTAAGATAGCCGGGGTCGACTAGTAAAGGTGACCAGCGTTTCTTCCATAATTGAAGCAGGCTCGATAATGCCCTCTGAAGTATAGTTTTTTTCCGAACTCCCCAACAGATGAAATACGAATTGGCCACTATAGAAATCTTTTCAACCCCCAAAACCTGGTAAGCGGATGGGAAGACTCGGCCTCCAATTTTGCAAGGGGCTATTACAGAAACGCTCAGAAGATTCTACAGCCAACACTGGAAGTCACAAGACGGTTGGTCGAGGCATGCGATGACTTGCAATCTTTTGTCTTTCACCAGTCACACAGTGGTGGTACGGGTTCTGGTTTCACTGCATGTAAGTCATGTCCATTGCTAACTTCTAGTTCATTGGGTGGGCTGAGCGTTACGTCAGATGCTACATAACCTGTTCGCCTCAACGATTTATCGATCCACACATACGATCCACACATAACAATTGACCAATAGACAAACCTGAATTGTCTATGGTTCAATTCACTTGCATGACAAAAAACGTGCTCGCAAGCCGTATTTTGCATAGAATTAAGTTACCCCCTACTGGGAATATGCTCTCGGTGAACTGCTTCATTTCGCCCTTGCTGTTTGCCCAATACAAATGGCGATGGCATCACTCAGCTCAACCGCATTCTGTAGATTCCGTGCAACCAATTTCCGGCATTCTTTTGGTTCATTTTTCTACGGGTGATCTCCGGCTGTGATTGGTTCTTCTCGCGTGCTAACGGACGCTGGTTCAATGGTTAACATCATCCCACACTGTCTAGGATAAACCTCCACGCTGCGCACAAAAACTACGAAACGACCCATTTTTGTTACAGTTCAGTTACTTTTTATGCGATAGCGCGTTGATGTCCAAAAAAAGAGAAGACATTTTCAACATTCTGTACCATAAACCCTGTGTCACAAATTAACATCAAAGTAGAGAAAAACAAGTTCCAATGTATATTCGTAATGCAATACGCATAAGGTTGCCGAAAACTAGTCGACAGCCCAAGACCGGTTTCGCTCTTCTTGAGGTTCATCAAGTAGGCGTAGTCCCCGAGTTTCCGTCAACCTTATGTCCTACTTGAAACCAAATTGCACGAAACCAGTCGTGGGCTGTCGAGGAGTTTTCAGCAACCTTATGAGTAGGGCATTACAAAAAAATATATTTACCGCGATATCTCGAATATCTTAGTGACTAAAACATGAGGCGGCCTGGTGCAGCACATTCAGTTGCCTGGAAATATCGAAACCGAGTGAGTCAGCTGGGTTCCAGGTGGGTCTCTTGAAAAACCAAATGAGTGTATTTCGCTAAGTGAAATGGACCTAAGTTTACCGGAATTACGAAGGACTGCTTCACCGTGATTACCACCTTCAAGCTGATCCCAAATGCGGCTGGTAGAGGACTGTAAAAACCCGAATTGCTTAGCCTACACGTTAAAAGTCGGCAATTATAGTCTAATTACATACTGCAATGCTTGGGGTGAAACAGGTTCATGAACAGAAATAACGGGGACAGTAAGGCGCCAGTAAAACCAGTATGAGTTGGTATTAGTGTATAATTCCATGTTCTCAACAACTGTTTTTCCCCACCAAGTTTAATCTATTCATGTTGCCTTCCTCATCGTCATTTATTGAAAACCCGGCTTCTACCCCTCAGTTTTACAGTAGAAATCTCTTCATTTCCCTCAGTTGGTAGAGATTTAAATGCTCACAAGGTTAGTATTTCTAACTTTGCTCATCTACACCGCGCTTATAACAGATGACGCCGATGTAAAAAGTCACGCGATACACAATAATGGATGCGACCTACCAGATTTAGGTATTTTGAAGCATAACTATTGGGAGAATAACCTTATGATGACTGCTGTAGAAGGGTGGTGAGTTTTAGGCGTTACTCACAACAGCTAACACAGCTAACACACCAAAACCAGTAGACTGTCCCGAGCCGCCACCGCTACCAAGAGCCGATTCTTTTTCTATCGATATTTTCAAACAAGGTGAAATTTTGTCCACCTAATTGCGCACAGTTATCGTGTTTCTATAAAAAAAGGCATTACTACCAAATTATGGCTCAGTAGACTTGAAAAATGTCAGATAGATTGCCTTCATTTCCGACAAGAGTGTTGATCTTCATCGGCATTTCACCTGTGAAGTACTCAAAATGTTGGGGCACAATACACTACTTATAATGCTTTTGAAAACTTTATTTGAAACCATATTGGTATGCAACTTAGAGTAGTGGAAGTATTCGAAATTTAATTACACAAAATGCATCTATTTAACGTAATAAATTGGGTAGTTTTTGCCGTTTTTCATCGAAATTTTGGCAAAAATTCCGCTGAATCCCTCCGGAATAGGGATCTATTCCACGTAACTTTTGTTTTCATTGGTTCGTTCGATTTTTTGCTACAACAATCATCCTTTTGAAAAGGCCAAACCCCTTTTTCAAAGCGCACCTACCTGCTTTATGCTACAAGTCTTCTTCATACCCTCGTAAGCTGGAATTGGCCAACTGTCAAGGACACAGGTGACGGGATGTGATGATGTTCTTATAATTACTTCACGCCAATTTTTTAACCATTCTGTCCATGGACTTTTAGAAATGATGGTCTGGGACTTCGAAATGCAGCTCGACCGATTCCTTCAGCAAAAACAGCATGAACAGATGCCCCCATTAGGATGGCACCAAGCAGGCTGTAGTAATGTAAAATGAAGATTCATTCCTGTTGGCATGAGTCCCATATTCCGAACCCATTTCAGCAAGTCAACAGCTTTGCACATGAAATCTCAAAACGTTTTTGACCAAATTCGTTTTTACCTAGCTCTCCTGGAAAAGCTGCATGACGAGTACACCAAGAAGATCCGTTTCAGCATTTCCCTATTGCCAAGCGACGCGATGAGCACATGCATCGTGGAGGCTTACAACACCCTACTAAGCTGCCATGTTCCAAATGAATATATTGATTTCACAATCTTGACGGACAACAAAGCTCTGTTGGCAGCGTGCGTCGACCGGATTGGTATCTGGAAACCGACAATGTACCATCTGAACAGGGTGCAAGCGCAGGTAAATTTGACAAGAAAGTGATTGGTACTTCACACAAGTTTTAGACGGCTATTTTTTGTACGTTGTACGAAGATACTGTGTTGGTTCAGCTAAATATCATCATCATCAGCTGTAAAAATCGCGTACTTGCCGCGTACTTGCCGTAAAGTAAAGCTGCCACAGTGTTGTTCGCCGATGAAATGGAGATATGAGGTTGATAGCTTCGCATTGGAGGCGGTAGCTGACAACCGAAGGCTCAGTGTCATTATCATCTTATTCGTCGTCTCTATCCGTCAGTGTGTTCCTGCTCATCGTCTCTAAGCCCAGTACTTGGACGTGTTTTACAGTTTCCGATAGGCAGACAGTTTTCTCGAGGTGACAAGCTTCCTTGTGGTACGTTTATGCAGGGTTTCGAACGAATGTTGTATATGCGGGGGCCTGCACCGCTTAACTTTTGACAAAGATTTTCGTACTAGTGCGTAGCGGTGGGGTGGTGGTTGTGCGTTGGGTAGTGTTGTGCGTGTGCTAATATACGTGCTCCTAGCAGAGGATGACTTTTGATCGCGATTAGTTGTTCGGAAAACGCAAAAAGTTTGGCATACGGAGGCACGAGACACGAAAGAGAATTTCTGGAAGCATGGTACTCCACGGCAGATTCGATCAACAGGTGCATCGAACTGGACCCAATTTACGCGCCCCTACGTGCAAAAGACCAACATCTCAACCGGAAAACTCATGGAGGACCGAATATTGAACTCACAAACAACGAAACAAGGAACTCCTCGGAGGTAAATCAATAAAGGTCACAACCCGGGACTGGAAAGGACAAAGGTCACTCTAGCATCGACCAGATTATGACGGCAGGGGATGCCAAGCTCAGATGTCACGTGGACATCGGCGAATGAGGACACAGGGCAACGGAGAAACCAATGGAATCGCTCGACCGAACAACTAATCGCGATCAAAAGTCATCCTCTGCTAGGAGCACGTATATTAGCACACGCACAACACTACCCAACGCACAACCACCAACCCACCGCTACGCACTAGTACGTTCCACAATAACGCACTGATGATGTCACCTCGATTGGTGATGAAACGTTTGCAATCAAATTGCCCAGCTCAGCGAACAATCCAACGACCACCAAGATTTTAGCTCATTTGCACCATTTACCGAAGTTATTTGAGAACTTTGGGACATAAATATTATGGCGTGGAAAATATTTAAGTGCAACCCACTTGAAACAACTCCGGGCGCATTTGAATCCGATTGAACTCTTCGAATAGCATCGATTATATCTGGTTGACTTTTGCTGCCTACGTTGTGTGTATTAGGAACAAAAATCTGTAGGACCATTAATTGCATTTTAGTCTGCCGTTTTGACAACACTGTGGGAAGTTCTCGCCTTCGGGACAAAAGTATACACTCAGTATAAACTGTCCGAGTTAACGGTGATTGCTACTGATGTGGAGGCATGTGAGTAGTATGTGTTGTTCTTGGAATTTCGCCTCATGTCTCTTGCGGAGTTTGTGGAGCCGCTTTGTAACATTTGCTTGGATTTGAGCAATGAATGACTGGAGTC